AATGGAGTAATTCTGATATCTAATAAAACATTTTCATCACAGATTAGCTTTAGGTCTGAGTCAATCTAAACATGCATATTCTTTGTGGCTCTGTCCTATGAGTCTCATTCATTTGTGGAGAGTACAAGTATTATTTTTCCTGCTGACAAATTCTACAAATTGAGCTGTGAATCTCTGCAACTCCTCAAGAGTCACCATGAGGATCTGTTTTTCTGATTATTATTATTAGCCGGGAGTAGGTTTTCAGTTGCCTTCTTCATTTCTGAGTTGTGGAGTTGGGGCTGCACAGTAGCGCAGTTGGAGGGACTGTTGCCTTGCAGCAAGCAAGTCCTGTGATCGATTTCCAGCCCAGGGTTTTTCTGCATGAAGTTTGCATGTTCTCCTTGTGCATGCATGGATTCTCTCCAGGTACTCCAGCTTCCTCCCACAGTCCAGCACCTCCTGACCCCGTTAGGGACAAGAGTGTAAGATGGAGTTGTGGATTTAGCAGTGTTGCATCAGATATCCCTAGCTTTTATTTTACAATGCAACCTTATTTACATGTCACCAAAACTGTATTGCTGATCCATTTGGTGTGTTGCTTGGTGTTTGCTGTCAGTATACTGAGATGGAATTGGTCTCTATTCCCTAATTATGTGACTCTTTAGTGTAGCTATTACTTAAAAGTGCATTATAAAGTAAAAAGAAAAAAATATTATTAAATATTCTAAAAATATATAATTTTCCTCCACTCCATGATTATATTCTACTTTTCAGTTGTAACATGACAAAACGTGAAAGAATCTGAACACTTTTGCAGTGAACAATGAGTAATAGATATTTTAACTGGTGATTTTTACACCCAACTTCACTAAACGTTGACTGTAACTATAGTAAGAAATGTTTCCTTCTCACTTGACTCAACTTAATTGGAGCAAAAACAGAGAACAACACTTATAATTGGTCAATTTAAATTTTTTTTTTGTATGATCATCACACAAACTTTCTTTTTCAGCCAGATTGTGGACATCATTTCCATACATGTCTGGTGCTGGGAAGGTTTTATAGACACATTCTTAGTTGTTCAAAGCGAACCCGAAAAGATGCAAGTCAATTTTCTTTCAACATTTCAGTGGCCCTAGTAGGCTTTGAAAAAAATAGGCATCCATAATGAATGCTGTCAATTTTTATCCCAATTAGAGTGTTTATCTCGACTTAGTGCACCTATCCTGATGCCTTCTCTTGAGGGGGCGATGAATTTTCATGAAGGGCAAACACTGTACTTCAAAAAAAAAGGCTTATTTGGGGTTGGGATTTAAAGCTTTAGCTGGAATTACTTTTCTCCAATTTGTGCTGTGTTAACAGCCAGAGCAGCACGAGGTTGCTGTACTGAGGTGGGAGACAGTGGGTGGGGTTAGCAGTGAATAAGTAGAGGAAAAAGTTAAATGATGGGAAGAGAACAAGGTAATGTGTGTTTATGTAAGAAGAGCCGTCACTAAGCTTTCATTTGGAAGAAGGAAATAAATAGAGCACATCACATCAACTCGCTGCTGCTTGACAAGTCTTGTCAGATACTGACAAAAACATATCTCAGATGTCAATCACCGCTTCTTGCCACGTATAAATACCCCAACACATATTTATGGTTCACTTTAATGTGAGGACAGACACAACGCCTGTGATGTGCTACTTTTAAGGATGTGAGTCAACAATTTGAGCCTCGCAATTCTGATATAAACCAGAAAATCCAACAGCATCAGATGTAAACTGGGACATGGGGCTGTTTTTGTATAGAAGAAGAGGTTTGTTATTTTAGCATTGAAATCTTTTGCATGCAAAGGAGTTGGTTTTTAACACCAAGCTTGTTTCCTCCTGACACCACCTACTGCTCAGGTTAAGGGAAATTACTGCACTGACATGCAACATTTAAATGAACTCATTAAAATTTAAACAGTCACCAGTCCAGGGACAATCACTGCAGACCGCTGCTTGGCAGGCGACAAGCTAATACAATGCAAACAGCTGGTACAGGGGAATAAAACTAGTTTTTATTTGACTTTTCACATTGACAAAAAGCCTTGTTGCTGATACTTGAATGAAACAAAGGAAGGCTTTCAGCAAGACACAATGAGCACATGTTTGGTTTTAATTCTGCATCCAGCTTAAGTGTCAGACAGTGGTGCGTAGTTAGTAGTTGCTCAGAGCAATGGTACACTGGAGTTTAAAAAAGTGAGAAAAGCTTAAAATTCCTTTAAAAACTTTTATCGACATACATGGCGCAGCATTGATTGCACTGCAAATTCAAGATCAAAATATGAAGATGTACAAAATTTAACTCTTTAGAAAGTGAAGAATTTTGTTTTTCTGTAAAAACTTGTACGATGTAAAATGAAATATGCTTAAAGATTTCGCTTCCCTGTGAATCACTGACATGTCATTGCTCATCTGTGTAGCTTGGAGTTGTCTAAATCCGGCATCTGCTAACAGGTATTCACTCCTCGTTTGATCGGAATATAATTTATTCCTCTTCATTTCTTAGTTTTCATAGAAAAAGACAGTTTGTCATTCTGCAGGTTTTCTCTTGTGTTATAGTCTGGGCATTGGGCCAGCAACTCCAGAACCGAGATGCTGCTGCCTTACTGGGGTGTTTAGCATTTTGTCCTGTTCAAATGCCTTTTTAAAGAACAATTCATTTTTAGCACAAAGGGAGTATGACCTTTTCATGTCTGATGATGTATTCCAACAGAGCCATGATACCTGCTATGTGATAATTAGTTAGTCCCAACACTAACTAATGCCAATAGAACCAAAAAGAAACATTCTCATCCAACATGCTTCAGTATGCTGTGGGTTGGAGTCAGTGCTTGGGGGTCATTGCAGTTTCTTGATCCCTCCTCCAAAAAAACCTCTACTTTCATCCATAAAATATTGCTTCATTTTCCTTCAGGCTAGTCGATATGTCCTTTGGCAAATTGCAACCTGGGAATTTGCAGGGGCGGCTGGGCTTCACAGAGGCATTATCTTTCTGTTACAGTGCTAAGAGGAAACAGTAGACCTTTTTAGTTTCCATTTAAAAACCATTTGAGATCAATTCAGCTGAGCAGCCTGTCATTTTCTGCACTTCTTTATACAGTTGAAACCAGATATGTTCACACTATAAGAAAGACATTCTCTCACATTAAATAATATTAAACCTTTTTCAGTTTGGCCAGTTAGAATTACCAAAACTGTTTCCATTATAAATGCCAGAGTGATTTCTTTTTTTTATTACTTTTTTCAAAATTCAAAAGTGAATATATGCTGAGACTGCTATATCTATACACAATTTGGTAAAGCCCAGATGATGATGATTGCTTTGTAATCTGAAAGATATCTCATTATGTGAGTTATTTAGAGGCACACACATGGATGTATTTTAAAACATCTTGCAGTGTGGCAATGGCAAAAGGACAGGTGATCCATATCAAAAGTTTGAGTTTCGGCCCTTGGCCCTTTGCCACATCTCATCCCTCAGTCCTATTTTCTGTCAGACCACTCTTGAATAAATGCCAATAGAGCCAAAAAGAAATTAAGAAAAAAAGAAATAAAAAAATTCTAATAATGTTTCTTCTGTTCTATCATGGAAAAATCTAAAGATATTCAGTTTAAATGACATTGTGATCTACAGTGAGTAGAGGAAAAGCTACAAACATGGAGGGTGGTATGTACCAGAAAAGACAAGAATAAAGATTAGTCGCAGAAAGACAGAAGAGGTGTGTAAATGAAAGGGACACAGGTGGAATGGGGACGTAGAAAAAACTCAATTAGAGGCAGAAGTAGAAATTAAAAGCTCAAGATGCTGATTTTCTCTTTGAAAGAGACAAGAGTCAGGAATGAGTACATCAAATAGGTAGCTCATGAGATGTTTTGGAGAAGGTCACAGAAGCCAGATTTAGATGGATTGGACAAGTTCAGGGGAGAAGCAATGATTAGGATGATATAGGATGCTGAGGTTGGAACCACCGGTCAGAAGGCAGGAGAGCAAGACCAAGAAGGAGATTTATGGCTGTGGTAAAAGAGGACATGATAGTTTGTGAGGGTAGAGGATGGAGATAGATAATACACTATGGTAAACCTTGCAGGGAAAAGCAGACAGAGATGGACTTCCATATTTATGGTTAATCTGTGGGTAAAAGTTTCAGATGCCTGAAGGTGCTACACATTTATTAAAAAAAGGGGAACGACTCCATGTCCCACATATGGGATGAGTTTTGGTGAAAAGTGTACCCATCAACTCCAGAATAAAAGTGAAAAAACCTTGTAAAAATGCTCAATAAAGCTGTGAAGAGTATTATTTTCATTGAAATGAGTCCTGTACCAAAATAGGTTGAATGAGGAGGAATAAAGAATGACTCCAAAGGCTACATAGAAAGCCAGATTAGATTTTGCCAAACACTCAAGGGCAAAGAACATATATTTTGGAGAGCCTTCCTGTGGTCTGATGAAACCAAAATTTAAGTGTGCCATTAGGGCTATTGCTACTTTTAAAGGAAAGATAGAGAAGCTCATAAGCCTGCAACCAATGTTGGCAGCAAATTTAGTGGGGGAGATTTGCTGCAGACAAATTGGCAGCAAATCTACAAAATAGATGGTGTGATGAGGAAAGAACATTAGGTAATACTGAAGCAACATCTGAAGACGTCAGTCAGGAAGTTAACACTTGGTCACAAATGGATCTTCTAAATGGGAAATGACCTTAAGCGTGCAGCCAAATTAGTTACAGAGTGGCCTGAGAATAAAAGAGTGAGTGTCTTGGACTGGCCGCCACAAAGTAAGAATTTCTAGCTAGAAATGAAAAGGTCTGTGGACCTGACACAATAAAGGTTGTAAAATACAGCCTTTACTTTTGTATTTTGCATTAGCTATACACTAGTGATGGGTCCAGCAACACCAATGTATACTTTTCAAAATACTTCCATCCTTACTAAGAATTTCCTGGTCATGGCAAAACTAAAATGACAAAGCTGACACGAGGCTTTGAATTTAAACTTTATTTGTTGTTTCTGTTATAGTTTAGCAAAGCAAACATCAAAGTATGAAGGCATCATCATTTCATTTCATAGAACTGTAATTCATCTGTTCTTTAGCATGGCACCACCAAAAATAATTTGCTAACAATTAAAAGAAAGTAAAACCATTTTAAATTCAACCCAATAAAACAAGAAATGTTTAACAACAGATAATAGCCATTGTGATGCAGTTAAAAATACAAATCATCTGCAAGCAAAACAGAAGCATAAAATCATACTTGGCCCACCTCCTGAAGTCTGATACCATTATTTTTTGTCTGATATGAAATAAGGCAGATTCCTTCCATACAATTATAAACAATCTGGAAAGAAGACAAGCAAAAGTGAAGAGGGCTAGTTCTTTTTTATGACATTGAAATTCAAAGCAATTTTCTTGCATGCACTGGAAAAGGCAAAGAAGACAGGGGGAGGAATAAAAGAGCTAATCAATTTGTCAAGAGACGGCCGCATCCTGGTTTGTGTGATCTGGGATGTTAACGCGAGACTTGCCAGGGAATGGCACGTTGCCTTGCAGTCATTGGCTAATTTGACTTGGCGTTGCACCAATGGTGTAATCTAAAAGCCCCATTAATGTAGAACATTAACCTGTATATTACCAAGCTGGAATTGTAGGAACAAAAAGGTTGCTGTTAAGCCTCATCCAGTCAGGAGTGTCAACATGTAGGAGCTGTGGCTGCTGTCCTCTGACAGCTTGACCGCACTCTCACAGTGGCTTTTAGCAAATAAACATTTGAACCTGGTTCATATCTTTGCACCTTGCTGGCAAAATGATGGATGACTAACACACAGTGAGGTATGGCTCTTCTTTTCTGGTTGATATGTTCAAGTCCAATAGCAAGGTTTTGTAACATACATACATTTACATACAGTACAGACATACTTCAGGGAAGAATTAAAAGGTGGAAAGCTAATTAAAGTTGGGTTTGTGAGCATCATGTGAAGTTTCTGGTTGTCCTGGGCCAGTGTCAGAGCCCATTCTGACAGGGGCCCGTCTGACACCAGTGCGGTTGGCCTTTGCACAGTTTACTGGCTGTCAGATGAGGTTGATTGTTCTCGTCTCAGTAGGTCCTTCTTTGTTCTCAGCAGAGTCTGGACAGAAAATTAAAATGGGATATGAAAATACTGTGCTCAAGTTTTAATTTCCATTCCTAAAAGTTAACATTTAAAAAAATATACTTTTTAAAATTACACCTTTTTTTTGCAACTGATATAGGTGATATAGATGAAAACTTAAAATTATTTTGTGAAGTAGGCTTTAGATTTCATGTTCCCAATGTGCTAAAAATATGTTTATTTGTTGTTCACTTTGTCATAAGGTCATTACTTTATTGTTGCTATACAAACTTGTTGGCAATTTCATCTTATGTGCTTGATATAAAAACTCTCATCACACTACTTCAGATACCTAAGAACAGTTATTTCAAAATGAATTTTCTTGGCCCCCTTTTTGCTGCCACGCAGAATTTTAGACTGCAAGACCACTAAAATGTGTACAAAATCAAATGGTAAGAGTGTAAATATCACTCTTACCGTTTGATACTTAGCAGCCTAGCCTGTTATGACGCTACAATAAACAAGGAAAAAAGGTCAATTGTGCTTTCATACGTTTACCTTTTGCCATAAAAATGCTTTGTCAGAATGTTAAATGTTATGTTCACTTTCATGATGAGTTAAACACTCAGCTTTCTAAAGTTTGCAATGTTTTTTTTTATTTAAAATGGTCAAATACCAGAATAGGAAAACATCAGTGGCTGCAAAAACTGGGGCTAACCCTAATCTTATTTTGAAATAACTTATGACATGTTCATAGTTTTATATTGACTTCTGCAGTAATTCATATACAGTTTCCACAATACCAAATGATGCATTTTAGAATATATTTGGTGTATTAAATGTGAAGATAGAAGCATTATTAGCTATTTGTTAGGAATAGGTAAACAATAGTCAAACATTTGTCGAGATATTCCTGTCCTCTTTAGTGTGGGCCTTTGTTTTTGACTGCATTGGAGTGCTGAATTAAAACATACTTATCAAATTACAGGTATAGCCGAGTCAACATCTTTCAGATCAACGGCACTAAAATATTCAGCATCAAAACCCCAAATTTAGGCAAAATTCAATCTGAAATTGAGAGGCTGTTTCATTTCTTTATCTTGGACCCTTTAGTGAAGCTGAAATAATCCATTACCTGGACTCAGAAAAGAGGACAGCCTGTTGTAATTCTCCTAAGTTCTACTCTTGCTGATTAAAAAGAACAGCATATGCTGACCAGATTCATAATAAAGCATCCCACCGTGATCCTGTCGCTTGTTAGACAACAACCTTTTTCTTCCATGATGCTTTGTCTGGCATTGTTAAAGCTATTCCTTTCCACATCGCCTGGTATGTCTCTGCCAACTTATTTCATATGCTGCTACTCTGTCCTATTTATTCAACCCCAACAATCTGTTCATAGCAGACACTTGTGTTTCTTTTGTTCCTCTACCTGGAAACTCCTCTTTGCAATACCCAAGTCCCTATTTCTGGCTTAACAACGCTGCTGAAATGGAAAAGAAAAAAAAAAAAAAAACATTTCCAGCTACAGAAATGTAAATGTGTCAATACACGAATGCTATGCAATTGGACCAAAACTTTAGATAGAAATCTGAGAATAACAGTAGCATAGTACCCTTATCAAACATGATTTATTGGCATGATTACTACCACTGCGATCACTGCATGTTAAAATAATATACATTTTACAGTTGATTTATTAAACGTCCAATGGTTGGGTTTTCGGGTAATTTATCACACTCAATCTCCAAAGACGTGCCGACACTTGTGTGTCGAGATATCAGGGTTAACACTGCAGACCTGAAATGGGTTGAGTGGAGTTACAAATGCATTTGGCCCTGGAGGAGCACGTACAAATGGCCTGCACTCCCCTACAGAGACGGGAAGATGGAGACAGACGGGGAGGAAAACTGATGCAGGGGGGATGAACCCAGCCAACAATTTCCTGCACATAGCTCAGGATTCTCTGAATAAACTGAATTTTAATTCAATGGCTGTGGCCACTAATAGGAAACCTCTTAAAAATAGAGATGTGCATGAGCCCGTGAGAGGTTGTTAATGTTTCCTCTGTGCCCTTACCTTTGGGCTTTGGGTCTTCAGGTTTTATTGAAGAAGGTTCTTCTGAGCTCTCAACAGGTTTTTTATCCTCTAAGAGAACAGAAAATTGGGGAAAAGGATTATAAGCAAAGAAAACCTGCAACATACCTCAACAGCATATACTCCCCAAAGCTTCAGTCAACCTGAGCAGATTTATAGTTCTCATGCATCTGTCTAAGGTTCAAGATTAAAGGTAGTGTTCCTCCTTCGCAAAACTATATTCTTTATCACAAAAATGGTTTCAGCATCTTCCACATATACTGAATGCTAATATACACCGTCATGTGGTATGAATTAGTAAATAGGAAGGGAAGTTAGAAGAAGAAACCGAGTGGCTGTCGGCAGAAGACCTTAGATAAGACAAATCAATGATCCCTCTTAGCTTTTTCACTTTTACCAAAACCTTAAAAGTATTTTATCTGGATTTTATGTGACAGACCAACAGAAAGTAAGACATAGTTGTGAAAAGGAAGAAAATGATAAATAGTTATACATATTATTACAAATAAAACCTGAAAAATGTGACATCCATTGTAATTGAACCAATTTACTCTGATGCTGGTAAATGAAATCAGGTGCAACCAAGTTAGCTTTAGAAGTCACCTTATTAGACACTTAGCCTGTCACTTTTCTAGAAATAGCTATTGGTTGAGCTTTTCTAAAGAAACCCTAAAGAAAATTAGTTTCTAGCTCATCTGCTGTTTCTCTTCTAGAAGTCACTGTTCTCCCTTTAAATTTTCTCTTTTCTTTATCATAGAAATAGGAAAATAGTTCAGAATTGAAGGAAACTGTGAGTAGTATTTTCCAAGTCTTGCCTCAGACTTAATTGCCGTTCAATTACAGCTTTGATAGAAAGCTTTTTTTTTTTTTTGCATACTCGCGCTGTTTAATGTCATTGTCATACAGGAAGGTGAACCTCAATCACTTGCTGTGAGGTGCTTAGAAAAAGCACCTCACAGCAAATTTAAGGTTATTGGGGATAGAGTATTCAGGAAGATGAGTTGAACATGCTATTGAGGGTAGTGTAAATCGGACTAAATACAGGCCAAACTTTTCTAATTGGAATTTGTGAATGATTTTGAACACTGCATATTCTTTTTCTTCCTCCTCTTCTTTTGTGTTGGGCTGATTAAACAAAGTGTTTAGTATCACTACTCACCGCCATTGCTGGTGCCAGCGTTGGGTTCAGAGGAATCTGTAATGCAAAGCAGATTTTAATGTAGACATTGCCTTTACTCGGGTATTAACGGTAATCATTGTCTAAAATCATTCTGCTTGCAAGCTGCTGTTCTAATTTATTTTTAGTCCAAGGATTTTACAGCAGCTTCACACTTCTGACCTGATGCTTTCTCTTGTCCCTGAAAATTCACTGCCTTCCTAAAGAGTTATACTTCACAAAAAAGAACAAAACAAACACACATTGGGAGAAAGACTCATGCAAAATTAATTACAGGCTCCCATCCCTGTAAGGCAGCTAGAGACCCTCCTCCCCTTCCCCTACAAACATCCTTTCCCCCTCTTCTCTATCCTACTTGTTACCTTTGTAGTCACAAAACTCCTTTATCGTCGCTCCCTGAGCAAACCTCCGCATTTCCTTCTTTGGAACAACAATCATCCCAACAAAGCACGCCACAAAAATAACCAGCTCTCCCCAGGCAGGCTTGTGATAATGTAAACAAATACATCTGCTTAAATGCAACAGAAGAATGTACAGGATTCAAAGCATGTGATTGTTTTGTATGTCTAGAGTCAAGATCATTTACCAAGTTGGTAAAAAAAAAAGGAGTTTACTGATGATCATTACAGGTTTGGATTTAAATACCATGTCACCTTTAAAAAAAAGCACATGTAGGCAACATTAGTCTTTGTTTCTGTGGCTGTTCTGAAGACTTTCATAAAAAGAAGAAAAAAAAAAAACACTCTTTTTGTATTTAATCTGTTGCAATATTTCAGCATAAACTTTTCCTTTTGTAGACACCAGAGGGACAGAAGTACTGCTGAGAAGCAGGAAGGATGAAGCAACAACAGTGTGAGCCTTTGTATAGCTTTTTGCCTTTTAATCTGAGACATTGAACTGCCCACAAGGCAAAATATCATCCTCAAACAAAAAGTAAAAAGGAATCTATTCAATGTTTACATGTTTGTTCTTTGACTTTAGACTATGCATAATTGTTCATGTTTAGTTTTTTTTTTTCCACTGAGCCATTTTTCTTCCAAAAATTCTTCTTGATCTTTGGTTTAGACTTTTAACAACTAATACATACTGCGAATACCATACATAACCCAGGATCCCTAAATAAAATCTTGGGTAACCGATTAATAAGTCACCTAAATGATAAATTGCATTCAGAGATGCAGAACTTTTGCATAAGTCATCAACATAAAAACCAAAGAAGAAGTTATTAAACCTGCAACCATGAAACCCCTGGTCTTTCTGGAGAAGCTTTAAAGACGCAGCCCAGGAGGGAGAATCTGTTGATGGGACTGAAGTTACTTATGCAAGACAAACATCTATCCATTATAGGGAGGAAGAAAACCACTGACACAAAAACTCAACATATGGACAAAGACGCTTAAAATGTTTGGCTCAATTTGTAAAGCATAATATTTGACTGACTTATTTATGCCAGATTTTGGACAAAAGGTTTACACACAAAGGACAGAATACATTTTTGACTATTAAAATCAAAAATTAAATATTTTTTTGAAAATCATGGATATCATTTTGTACTTCACAATTAATTATTTGGAAATAATTAAAACTCAAAATGAGGTGTCAGAAATTTCAAAAATTGCAAAAAGGTTACATATTGGACACTTATGATGTGGCATCAATCGACGGTAATTTACTCAATACATTAAGTTTACTCAGCCTCTAATTGATCTCTTACTCTGGGTCAGAAGGACCCAATCATGGGGCGAACTGTTGATTGGACAGATGTCCAGAGGACAGTCATTGAGACACTTTGTAAAAAAGGTAAGACAAGGTCATTGCTAAAGAAGCTGGTTGCTTGGAGTGCTGTATACAAGGGTAAGAAATTGAAAGGAAGAAAAAAAAATGTGGGAGGATGATCATGCAAAAATATATTCAACATGGGCTACAGGTGAACAAAATGTATTTTTTTATTTATCTTATGTAATATTCTAATTCTCTAACACACCAAATGGGTTGGGTTTACATCATCTTCAAACCATAATCATCAAAATTAAAGTAAGGCGGTTTGAAATATTTCTGTCTTTCTGTGCAATAGATTTACTTAATGAATTCCATAAAATATTTCTTTTTTTTATTATATTCCGATAAATAGCTTCATCTTTAAAGAAAATTAGAAGTGGGATGTGTGAAGTTGCTTGATGTAAGAACAAAGCCTGCAACACACAAGCAGGCAACTCAAGGAAGGAGCTCACTAAAGCACTCGCTTCATTCCACTCACTTCTAACATCTTGCCTCCAAGGTAATAACAGTACAGTCTTGGTGCTAAGGTAGCATCCTGCTCCTCTAATAACGGACAGTAATCAAAACAGAACAAAAAACAAAAAAAAGCTTCACAGTTTCGACTGATTGTGGCTCCAGCCTCCCACTGCCTGCCTGAAGCTTGGAACGTAGTTCTGTCTCACTCTCTAATTTGGCTGCTGTGTGCTGAGAGTGGAGAGGCTATCGTTTAGAAAAAGATCTGGGAGTGCTGTGGCAAACACATAAACAAGACGGGGGGAGAAAGAAAAAACTGGTCTCTGTCAAGATTATGGTGAAGGAGAGACACAGTGCTGAGAGGGCAAGGGAAGATGAGAAAAACAGCACACTGAAGTAAGTTCGTCTGTAGGAAGCCGAGGAGACATTACATCAATGTTTCTTAAAACTTGGACATCCTGTTTCTGCTTCATATCTGGTGAAACAAAATGTTTACAAGATTATTTAAGCTGATTCCATATATCTGAAGGTGTCTCTCTGATGGGGAGTTCAAAACTTAGACCGAATAAACAAGCTTACCTCTAGTAATGTTAACATTTGGTCATGTTTCTTCCACAAACTAGTGCATTTCTAGTTAACCATACTGATTTTCTATAGACTCATTTACTCTGTTTTGATCGACATTCCTACTGTAACTCGACTGAGAAGACTTCACTATTAAACCTCCTTTTTGTGTGTATGCATCACCATAAATGATACATGTTGACAGCGTATCTGTATAAATATGCCCCTAGTAAATCAAGTAAATGTAGTTTGTCTTAGTGAATTATTTTGAAAATACAGATACTGTGCTGATACATTTTACTGTTGGAATGGGATGATACTTGTTGACTGACTGTATTTGCCCCAGAGTCCTGCAAAAAATAGGACTTGTAGGTTATAATTTTGATGAATGACGTTGCGGAGGTGCTGTGCACGACGCCACCATGCACAGCCTTGCAGAGGTAATGTAAGCTCTCTCACCACAATGGGTATGCTTTTTTTTGCGAGACTTACAATGACATGTATTTGATACAAATTTATCCATGTGACAAGATGGAGGATACTTGATAATCTGACACTTCAAGGCTGTTGGAGACATTCGAAAACACTTGGGAAAGAAAAGGTAGTTCAGATTTATTCACCCAGGGGCATTCCACACGTTTCAGATTTCTATTTAAAAAAATATTAAAAACAATGTGTCCTATCCCTTCCACTTCACAACTTTCTGTTGGTTTAATACTTAAGTGTCAAACTGCAGTCCTTGAAGTCTAGTGTCCTGCAATGTCTGGATGCATCTCTGCATTAAGAGTCTTGAATCAACTAAGTGGGTCATTAGAAGGACTTCATGCTGAAGAGGTAATTCAGCCATTTGGTTCAGGTATGTTGGACACATCGATTCTTGAGGACGGAAGCTGGACACACCTGGTCAAACACATAAAATCCTGATAGATCACATTGGAGTTTATACCAATAAAACTGAAAGATTCACAGATATGGTATTAAGTTTTATTTAATCTACTGTAGGTCACAGAGTTGAAAACAAAATGTCTTGAATGATTGCAAAACTTTTATCTTTAGCACTTCATATCGGTTCCAGCCTTCAGGAAGAGAGGAAATGTGCATGTGCTCACATTTCCACACAGGCGCAGGAGACAGGAAGGAAGAGAATTGGGCATAAGTCACCCTCATCTGCAGACAAGCAGAAAATTACATCCCCTAACCTCCATTCATTTATTAGACAAGGGGTAGTTAGCGTTTTGTTGGTCAGCGTTAGTATTCTGCACAACAATGAGTTACAGTAGAAAATTTCTTTAGATCTAGCATAAATAGACAGAGGCAAGTAAAAGTTTTGTGTAAAAAACAGATATTTGAGTAGTGGCCACCTTTGTTTGACAAGATCTCTGTTTATTTCTCATCATAATCAAATCTCATCTGTCATACCACCGCTAGCAGATTGGAAGCCGATTTTGCTTCGTGTTTCAGATGGGACTCTGGGCAAAAAAGGATGTTCTCTTTGTCCTACAGCCACAGGGCACCTCAGTGATATTTATTCAACTATCCTTCTATAACAGTAAAAGAATTAGGATTGGGAAAAAAAAAATCAATGGATGCGTGGGGACATCTGTACCATGCAGAATCAGTTCCCCAGAAGAATTTTTTTCACTTCATTTGATCCCAGAGCCATGGTTTTGACATGCCGTGCAAACCGGTCTGCAAGATTTGATTTCCAGAAGATCACACAGGTGTCCAGCTATTTGCGGTCAAACAATGAACATGACCTATCACAGTCTCAGCTCAGGAAGAAGTTAAAAACCATTCACTGCTTACTTCTTACTCTGAGCAATGGATATTATCTGATAGCTCCATTTACAGTTTAAATCTCCTTCAGTGAATACAAAGTATTTCTATCTCACCAGAGTAAGCTCTGTTTTGTGGGTTTTATTTCTGTACAAACCTAGAAATAAAGAAAGAAACTATCTGCCGAAGCTTTATTTCCACAAAATGAAGATACGTTTTTCAGAAAGGATTGCTACAGATTCAGTTGTCTGAGTTTCCATGAACTGAATGATGTTTTACCAACTGTAATTTTACCAATTTACCAATTTTAAACAAAATTCCACTGTTATTATAATTTGGATTGGACTGGGTTTTAATATACTTTATTAACGAATGAATGAATACACTTTATTGCTAGGCACCCCTCGCAACCTCTGTGAGAAAAGCATGTATCATAATGGATAGAT